AACCAAAAAAAAAAATGTTAAAAATCTTGGTTTAAAAGTCAAAAAGGTTTTGGCACCCAAACACTAGTGGTGTCGAAAGGTTTAGGGACATGACCCCTATCATTTATGCTCAAAACTCTAGGGTTATGAACCCATTTGGGTGCATCTAGTGCACGAACACGGTCAAAGCAAAAATTATGCAAATGACCTTTCCGATTGTAATAAGTGCAATGAAAGAGGTCCATTTGAATTTGTTGACCATAAACTTGTGTACGGGAAACATTTTCAAACATAGATGGTCTTTTATAAACATTTTGCAAATGTGAAACATCATTAAACAAATGTGGTTTATTTGAAGAATTTGGCAAAAATGAACCTTTTCTTAAATCAAAATAAAATTTTGCCAAATGGCCAAATCTACCACAAAGATCACATTTATACACATTAGCATGCTTGTGATGAACAATAGGTGCATATAAATATGTGTGTGATGAAGAAACTACATGAGACGCACAAGAAGGATTAGCATTCTTAGGTTTGTGTGCATCATAGCAAAATTTAGCTAAATGGCCTTTTCGACCGCAAATGAAACATTTATAAATTTTACTATACATGTGTGCATGATGTATAGTATGTTTAGATGTAGTAGCATGAGACTTAGCACACATGTTCATAAGCTTCTTATTATGTACAATGCATATTTTAAGAGTTAAATCTAAGCATGAAATACGATTTTTAACAACATTCAACTCATCATTAGGCACATATGCATTAACATTAGAAGTAGAAAAAGCATGATCATTCTTAAATGAATCAAATTCATTTCTAATAGTTTCTACCTCTAGCATGGCATTATTTTTAGCATGAGATAAACTAGCAATGGATGAGGTTAATTTTTTATTTTCCAATTTTAACATATCATTATTTTCTTTAAGAATCATATTTTCTTTTTCAATGATATCAAAATTGGAAGCTAGCTTCTCATGATAGGATTTTAAGCTAACATGCGTGCTTTTCAAATCAATAAAATTATGTTGCAATTTCTTGTAGGCATGCATTAATTTTTAATATGCACAAGCGATATCATTAATAGTTAATTCATCATCGGAATCGGAATAGCTTACCACACTAGGGTTATCCTCTTGTGGACGAGTGCATGATGCTCCACTCTCACTTGAAGTTGATTCCGCCACAACGCGTCAAATCTCTTCCATGTCTCCTTGATGTGCTTCAAAAAGTTTTTATATCGTGTAAGCACTATCAAAATGAGCAAATTCATTAGAAATACATGGTTCAAAAGCGTTATGTAAGAATTCTAACACTAACTTGTTCATTGTAAATATCTTCTTATCATGATTGCTCCACTGGGATTATTTCAAAGTGGGCACAATATAAACACTATCAATAACTTTTCATAAATCGATATTTTTAGATTGCACAAATATTTTAAATCTAAAGCACCATTGATCATAAGGAAAATTTCTATATTTTGGAGCAACACTAGGATCATAGCCTAAATAAGGTGTACCATTCATATCCATAATGATAAAAATGTGCAAGCAAGATATAATTTATCTCAAAACTAGATTAGCACAAAAAAAGATAACTTGGATCTTTAACTCAAGGCGATTAAACCTTAAATCAAAAAGCACTAAGCTCAGATACCAATTGAAAGCACCCTAGAGGGGGGAGTGTGAATAGGGTTTATGCTAATCTAATCTGATTTAATGCCAATTTAAAACTAATTAACAAATGTATCCTAACAAGTATGATATACAACAAGTAATATGCAAGGATATTAAACTAAGGGTGAAATAAACATGAGCAATGGCGAAATAGAATGAAACAAAAATAGTGCACCAGGAAAACTCAAACACACGAAAATGATCATGGTGTTTGGTCCTTCCGACCTACGTCTCCACTCCCCACTCCCGGGGAGAAATCTACTATCACAATCGGGTTTTCGACAATCACCCGAATAACATTTACACCTCACAATATTAGTTTTCAACGCTCATCGATCAATGTTCACAATCACTCACAATGCAACTACACAAATCCCACCTCATGTGTTGGCCTCTCACGTGCTCGGAATTACGACCTACCTCTAGGCATTACCACCGATCACACTCCTCTTGGGACAGATCACGTCTCTCACCTCTACACTCCTCTTGGTGTACTTGTGCAATACAATGTGAACCTCATAATTTAGCTCACAAATAAAAGATTGTTCTCTAAACAAGATGAGAACTCAATTAAGCCCAACTCAATGTTACAATCTCACAACCCCAAATATACTATGTATGAAAATACTAAAAGCTCAAGTGGGTGGGTGTAACAAAGAGAATAAAATCAAAACTAAGCTCAATATAAACTCTATCTTAATAAAATGATAATCAAACAATTATATATAAATGTAAAGCTAGATTGAGTTTAGAAACACTTCTCTAAAAATGACAAGAGAGAGAGAGAGAGAGAGAGAGAGAGAGGGAGATGAGTTAAATGCCCAAACACAAATGATAATCTCCTCAAGCTCTTGTTAAAATTTCTTCACAAATAAACTTGTAAATAAACTCTGAAACCCTTAAACTCTTTTAGAAACTTTCTTAAACTTGTTTAGAAACTCTCTTGGATGGTTGAGAGGAATGAGATATGATGGGGTGTATGTAAGAAACTCCAAAGCCAAGAAGAACCCAAGAAAAATGCCAAAAACACCATAAAATGACAAATGTGGAAAACTAGTCGTTATAGACTGAAAACATATCATCGGTCGACTGATGAAGTCGACCGTTGAACAGTTTTGGTAGATTCTGGAATTTTTGCATATCTGAATTTCTAAAATCAATTAAAAATAGTAAATCAACTCCAAAAATTATTATTTTGATGGAATGTTCTAAACATGTATATGAACATGTTAGAGAAATAATTTCTGAAATATCACTTTTCATTTGTGAGAAATAAATGTTTGAACACATATATTACATATTCTAAAAACTGCTGAAACATTTAATTTTGTAAAATCAATTCAGTATAGTAAATCAACTCTAAAAATTATAAACGTTTGGGAAATGATTATAAACATGTAATAGAACATGTTACAAAAAGAATTTTTGAAATTACATTTCCCATTTGTAAAATATAATTTATTTTGTAAACTATTCAAGAATACGAAATCATCAAAACTTGATTTTGATAAAATTTATTCCAAACAAGTTTTGAAATGCTTTCCAATAGATTAATAGACTTGAGAAAATATATTAAATAGTGTAAACAAGTCTTTAATCCATAAACACATTATTTTGCAAATAAAATTATTTTGCAAATAAAAAATGATTTAACTTGAAAGCGATAAACCGAAAACGTGTATGTGTATAATATTTGAGCTTTAAGATAAACCGAAAACGTGTATGTGTATAATATTTGAGCTTTAAGCATTAACACACAGAGTATAAACATTATACCCAAGATTGAACGTGTATGTGTATAATATTTGAGCTTTAAGCATTAACACACAGAGTATAAACATTATACCCAAGATTGACCTTCAATAAAGCTCGTCTTGATGAACATGGATGAAGCTTGAACTTGAATCTTTGACTTGAATTGTGCATAGCTTCACTCCGGTATTCCTTTCATCCTCCAATGTATATGATCGTGTAGGCTCAATCCAACCAACCTCCGACATCATTGTTTGTCTAGAATACCTAATAACAAACACAAACACAAACACTAAACAAATAATATTAGGAATTGTTTGTAATTATCAAAATAAGATTAGGGAGTAGGCTCATATATATGATGCCAACATTAAGAACATCTACTGTTTAGTTACTTCTCCACTCAAACAAATTACGGACTTGATCGTCGGAGGAACAACCGAAAAACCCAACTCCGCCCTCTTACTGTGTAGGGGAAAATAGCCTACTTCAGAACCGGACATTCGGAGGGTTAGAGGACCACCGTCAACCAAATAACTTCTCTCATTGACTGTTTGATATCAGCCATTAACAAACACCACATACAATCAATAGAAAAATAAGGCTACAATCAGGTTGGCTTATTTATACATTAATTAATTTTAATATATAATTTTTTAATATTAAATTTACTAAATAAATATATTTTTTATTTTACAAGAATGAACAAAGAACCAACTCTTTCAACTTTCAAGAAGAGAATTAAGAAAAAGAAAAAATAATTAGAAATTATTAGAGCTTTTCTTAATGTTTTGCTTATTACATCTTATGAGTGGTTGATTGATTAAGAACTTGTTTTGGTGATGCATCATTTGCGAATAATATTTTTTGAACATTAAACTGTCTTATATCTTAATTTCGTTCAAGTTGCATTTAGGACATTTTGATTATCTTCATTTTATTCATTTATTATGAAAAAAAATTAGTATAAATGATCTTAATTTTAATTATAACTTTATATAAGTTGTTTAATATCATTATTTCCAGGCAGGTACATGTTATCTAACCTCAATGAGAGTGGGTGAGAGCGATGTTCATGTGTTATGTAAGAGGTTGAGTCGTTAGATCTTTAAAATTATATTCAGATAAGAGTGATTGAAAAGCAACAAAATATAGATGAATTGTGATAAAACCGTGCTTAACACGGGCTAAAACACTAGTAACAAATGATGCATATAATAAGGGAAAGTATAGGGTATCGAAGTGCAATTAAGCCTTGCAGAACTTCTAAATTTAAAAGGGAAACTGAAAAAATATTTTAGAGGCGATGGTCAACGATAGAGGCATATAAGTCCTCGTGAGTACGCCATCTTTATTGAGGGGATGGATTCTTGATACCATGACATCTCGGGGTTTTCTAAACTGCACCCAAGGCAACAAAAGCTGGGCCGAAGGAGATGATAAACGAAGAATAGCATACACATTAGTTTCACTTAGCTCTTGACGACGCTTCTGGCCTTTCCCATGCCTCCACTGCTTAATGGATGCAATCATAATCTATTATACTGGGAAAGAGGCCTAAAAATGGTAGAGACTTGATCCCCGTCCAGAAAAATGTCATGAATTATATGAGAACAATGTCAAACAACATGAGCCTGGCAAAGGCACATTAGGAGCAATTCGCACGCAACCAGACTAGAGAACCTCTGCTGAAAATGACCCCAAAAAAAAACATTTGAGGGCTTGATATAAATTGAAATGTACTTGCACAAACATCACAAAACCTTGTTGAGACTCATCCCTTTCATTAATCAAGAGCCTCTCCATGTTTCTTTTTCAGTTACAAGCTGGTTACTTTGAAAGAGTTATCGTCCTTCATGGAGATCTTCTGAGAAGACTGCAGTTCTAGAAATGTTGTCATTGTCAAATAAGCTTAGACCTGAGAAGGGCCCAGAAGAAAACATTGATGAAGTGCCATCGGATTCGTAGGTCGTGGATGACTGCCTTACATTTGGCCGAGCAGTGGGATTCGGCATTGCATCCTGATACTCTGCTAATCTCTGCACCATTTTAAGGGACTGAACCACTTCGCCCATCGTGGGCCTTTGGCTTGCTTCAGGCGCAACGCAAGCTGCTGCAATTGTGCATACTCGCACAAAGTCTTCTTTTGGATATTTACCTGACAGACTAGGATCAGCTAGCTCTTCCAACCGATCTTTTTCACGAAGAATTGGCCTAGCCTGCCATTATAACAGAATTAACAATTGCAAATACAGTCCCTATACCCTGGTCTTGAAGGGAACATAATACATAGAATATAATAAATATGTATCATATATCATCAGAAGCTTTTAGGTGCATAAAACACATCATATGCAATGTAATGAGACATATTATCCTTATTGCTATACGTCCATCTGAAAATTTACAGTTAATTATTTATCAACACACCCCCAAAAAAAATCAGGTGCACCGAATCCCCTCATATAACCTGCTATTATAGCAACCTCTTGATGTGATGCTATCAGCGTGGGTACACTGACCAGGACTTCCATGGTATGTGAATGAGAAACATATTATCTCATGAATGCATATTCATTAATTCTTCCCTCTCTTATGAGTGTGCTTTACATTCTAAAGCTGGGTCATATCTCATGAGTGCATATTCATTCAATTCTTCCTTCTCTTATGTGTGTGCCTTAAATTCTAAAGCTGGGTCAGAGTGCAATATGGTAAAGGAGACCAAGGCATGAACAGAATACTAGTTCGGTTCATAGGTTTAGGGATGTGATAGACATAACTGACCTCCTTCGTACTTATAACTGGAGGTATGTGGATAAATTTACAGAAATATGATGGTTCAGGTGGGAGTTTATATTTTATAAGCTTCAAAATCGTGGTAGATTTCTTTATCCTGTGCTTAGGCATATTATGAGGTTTTGAAAAGCCGAAAGTGCCAATATAGACAATGGTGATAAAAGGGTGCTTAATGTTGATAGTTTGAGGAAAAGAAGTCATGCTTTATCTGAGGTTTTGAAAAGCCAGAAGTTCCACTATAGCCAATGGTGATAAAAGGGTGCTTAACGTTAATAGTTTGAGGAAAAGAAGTCATGTTTCATCAGGGTTGTGGTTTTATATAGAGGGGATGAAACACATTCATCCAATTTAAGCATCTTATGTTTTTATAAACATGTAATATCATGTAAAACATTTTCTGGATACAAATACTGTCCTCGAACTATAATGTAAATCTTATGAATACAAATTTTGTCCTGGAACTATTAAGTCATTATCATTTTGTTTTATGTAACAAGACAGAAATGTCAAGAACTTTTTCTATAAAAGTATTACAAACCTTAACATATATCATCATTTAAAAATTTGTTTATTAAGGTTGATTAATTTACAATATTCCAACTTGTCCCTTGGTGTTTTGCCATGTTGACCAAGTTGAGTTTTCTCAGGAATTTGATATGAGAGTGTTACTGGTCTGGAGTTTTTTGTCTGATGTGTTTACTGATTTCTTTTAAAACTATGTGAGACCGGTGGATACTTGACATGTCTATGGGTTGTTCTTAGTGTAATTCTCAACTGATTTTGACGCTCCATGTAGAGCATCTGAATTACATAGGAAGGAACGAGCAGATTTTGACACGTGCAATGCCACGGCATGGGCATGAAAAATGCTAGAAAAATGATTGCTTAAACATTTTGATTTAAAAATACAACATATATCCAATCATTTATAACAAAAATATAGTGTGTTACAATAAAAGAAAACAACTTACATTGTATACCAAACTATTAAAAACAAAGTGGGTTTTAAAAAAAATGGGAGTAACAATCTGGATTTATAGGCAAAAAATATCTTCTTGGAATTGAAACTTCAAAAAATTTATCGACATTTCCCAACATCAAAGTGTGAGAAAATCCAAATAATAATAATAATAATAATAATAATAGTCTAAGCATTGGGTTTTAAAAAAATAGTATATCTAACCACCTTCAAACGAACATAGCAAGTTGTAAAAACATATAACAGCTTACACCACATATTAAATTGCTAAAAAAACAAAGTTGGCTCAAAATTAATTCCATGAAGTATTTTGGATCTAAGAGTGATTTTGGAATGTATTGATTTAAAAAATAAATTATGGTAAATTTGGGATCAAATAGGCAAAATGGCCCTCATCTATAACTTTTTCTTAGATGAGATAAAGACAAGAGAGTGCACTGTAGCATATACAGTACATGGCTTCAATCCAAACTGCTTCAACTTTACTATATGGATCTACGCTACCCGGGTACTTCATTATTGAAGCCGTACCCGTACCGAACACGTACCCGACACTTTCCCGTACTCAAACTTCATGGACACTTCTTGAATATATGCATGCGTTTATTACAACATGTACTCAATTAGACGATATATGTGTTAATTTAAAACACTTGTCAAAGACTTCCTGGACGTAGAGCTTACACTCCACATCCGTCTTTTGAAACTAATGGGATACGGGTCGGGTTCGTTTCAGTCTATACCCAAGTTCAAAACTATATAGTTAATGGGTCATTTAGATGTCTAGTAAAAAAATGAATAGTTTACAATTCATGATAATCAATATGATAAAATTAACTCAAAAATATGATCGAAATTTTAATTCTAATGACACATGAAGCGGAAAAAATTACCTCATGTACATTATTAATTCAATATATATATATATATATATATATAGTCGTGTCCTCGTACCCAACATTTTACAGTTTTGCCGTATCCCCTACCCGTACCAGTACCCGTGCCCGTTTCCATGCAACTTAGATATGGATAGATAAATAAATATTATCATTTTTATACAAGAATATCATCGTATAAATTAAGCTCCTACACAAACACGGTCCAAGTTACGGTTGAGCCTTATTTGGCTCAAATTGAAATAACCGACCAAACTGATCATTTTTTGGTTGGTTTAGAGTGATTTAAGTATTTAATATTGTATCCACTCTGAATCCCGAGATCCCAATGCCATCAGCCCACTCATGTCATCAGCAACCTGCGACTCCTTATTGCTATCAGTCCGGTTTCCTCATTCACTGAGCCCCTCATCTCTTCCTCCTCTCTTCCTCTTCAACCATCTCTTCTCCCTGTATGACTATTGCAATACTACCTTGTGGTGTGGACTGTGGAATCGAAAAACTTAGTGGAGCAGGGGTAAGCTTGAGGTGGACTATTAGGTAGGGGGTTCGTGTTAAGCGTCTCTGGCTCTTGTCATTTGTCTAAAATCTCTTTAATTTACTTGTGCAAATTTAATTAATTGTTTCTGACTTTCGGCCGTATAAATTTTTGTTATAGTCATTTTTTCCTCTTTATGAAGAGATGAATAGGAAAATCATGCAAGTAGGCATTTGTAATATTTACGAAATATGGTTTGTAAGATATGGCTGGGGGGGGGGGTAGTTGCACGATTCCCTCAACTCCCCTCGAACCGTCGTACAGTTCCTGCGAGCCAATTCCCAGTACATTTGCAAACTGATTCCCTTCGATACACGAATTTGTTCCCCAAAATTGGCGTGCCGCTTATAAGTATGTGAGGTGTAACTGTACATGCACAAGACGCAATGCAATGTGCATAGTCGAGTAAAGGGATACGCACAATATAATATATGAGTCAATGACTTTACAATAACTAAATACCTATGTCAATAAAACATGCAATGATGTCATGATCCCAACATGAACTTGTGAAAGAGAAACAAAACAAAGTAATGAACCCCATAAAAAAGCAGCACTTGAATAATTTGTATGAAAAATATTGAAATGCATAATTAGCTTTCTAGTTTCTAGTTTCTAGTTTTCTACTATACACTTTGGAAAATGAGTGCACCCCAAAATATCTACAACGTACCAATGCCTTAACTTGCGTACAAAAGCAAGTTACCCCCATTGAATCCAATATTTATAAGTGGTGAATTGCGTACCCGAATTTGTACGACAACCCGCTACGTACCACATACTGTGTAACTGTGGTTGGGTCTATGTGATTATTTCTTAGCTTTTTTGTGCTGTTTTTTTTTCTCTTTCTTGTCTGATTCTATTGGTTTAATTTTACTTTAACTCAAAGCTATAAAGAAGGTCCTAACTTTCACTGGATCTGCTTAAGTCAAGCCTGAAATAGTCAAGCCTGAAATATCCAAATATTCCAGAACTACCGAACCAAACCAAAATAATTGGTCTTGTACTTGGTTTTTCAGTGCAGTTCGCAAAAAACGATGCAAAACCAGTCGAATCCACTTAACGCGCATTGCCAATACAAGAGCAGCAGAAATGCTTCTCCCCTGAAGGAAAACAATTCTACCTTAACTGAAATTAAAATAAAAGGAGCTTATAGGAAAGATGGCAAGTTGGCACGCAAACTATTGATGAACATCTGGTGTAAGACTTGATATTTGTCAAGCCAAGCTAAAACATTTTACGGGGAAGAGAGAGTATGGTGCATCCTGTCCAAATCCAAGTTTAGCTATATTACACCTTATTTGGTCGATTTGAAAAACAACCATCACAATAGAAGAATACAGGTGGACTGCCAATACAACTAGGGAATCTTTCATATGATATGTACTGTTTTCTACAAGATAAAATAGTACGAAGCCTAATGTAAAGAAATGTTCGTCTAAATAATGCTTCATATTGTAACATGCATTCATTCTGAATATGAAGTTGTCATAAGATACAATCTTATGCAGCTAAGACATATTAGCTTTTCATCTACTTCATGGCTCCTGCTGTGAATAACATAGTCTTAAGCATTCTTATTTTTATGTTAAACATAAACAAATTAGTGCAAAACAAAATAATAGTTTCACATCTCTTTCATGATAAAGTGGTCTAGTTTGAAAAAATGGATGGGCTGATGCATCTCAGTGTGCGCATCACACATCAGACTTGTGTCTGGGAAGGTCAAAATGTGCTGCAGTGTCGAGTGTCAAAAATGTGCTTGAAAACGTTCAAATAAAAAGAAAATGTATAAACTTTGGGATGTGAAGCTTATCAACAAGTTCTCTGTGAATCCAAGGACAATCTAAACATGGCAATTTGTGAAAGATTCAGTGTTAAATGTCTTTGATAGAATGGTGAAGAACACTGACCCAGGTCACAAGATTCTCCTTGCCAGATGGCTGTGACATATCTACAGGCCTCCTCCCAGTCAGCAGTTCAAGCAGAACTACTCCATAACTATATACATCACTCTTCACTAGCAGATGTCCAGTCATAGCATATTCGGGTGCTACATACCTGAAAAGCCATTGGTTATCTATGATGGTGATGACATGAAATGCCAGTGAAATAAAAAGATATATCTACATGCCACATGTGATATAAAAGAATTTCAGCTACATATAGTTACCGCATGCAGCAATCAAGTGCACCCAAAGGCACACATGATGATTGATTGATGCAGGAAAGGTACAAGTTAGGATTTTTTTAAGATGTGATTTTCTTTAGTTGAGATATGTGATTAGAATGACGTTGTTATTTAGATATTAGAGTTGTTATTTTGTTAGTATTTAATTTGATGTTATCTATTAGTTAGGATTAGGATTTTATTTTAGTTTTATATCTAACGATGCACTTTTTCATTTGAGGGAGGAGAGAAAAAATGTTTGTGAGGAACTTTTCATGTGCATTGCAACTAGTATTAGGCATGTCAGTAGCTAATGTGTGAAGTGCTTGGGTGTGAATTCCAACATTTGTATCTTCCCCCCTTCAATGAGAAGTGCAGTTTCAATATTTCTGTTTTTCTATTATTTTTTATCCAAATAAATCCCTCAACATATTCCCATCGTCCGCTCCCCATTAATGAAGCAAGTTTGAGTGCGCACATGCAAACAAATAGCACATACACACATGCATGTGCACAGCACACGTGTAGATGAACACGCAACACAGACTCATACAGTGTGCGCATTCAAGCCCATGAGCATGCACACATGTAGTTGACTCTGTGCATGCACACATATATGAAGGCCATGCACGTGTGCATCCACGCGCGCACACACAAAGAGGAAGGGAGATTAGAATGTACCCAAAGGTTCCCATCACGCGAGTAGAAAGATAGTTCGCACGCCCTTCAGGTGCTTGTTTGGCAAGTCCAAAATCTGAAACCTTTGCGTGGAAGTTGTTCTCAAGCAATATATTGGATGCTTTGAAATCTCTGTGTATCACACAGGGCTGAGAATCCTCATGAAGGTAGGCAAGCCCTCTAGCAGCATCAAGAGCTATTTTCATCCTAGTTTCCCAACCTAAAGGACAATTTGCTCCCAGAGGACCTAAAAAGAAAAACATAAACATATTAGAAAAAGGAGAAATAAGTTACAAATAAAAGTCCAAAATCATGTAAACGTATGTAATACCATGGAGCCAGGACTCGAGGCTTCCATTGGGAACAAGCTCGTAACAGAGAAGATGCTGTGATGAATCACGGCTGCTGTAGTAACCAACAAGTCTTACTAGATTGCGGTGATGTAGCCTGCTTAGCATTTCAACCTCAACCAGGAATTCCTTATCTCCCTGGTGTCCTCCATTTGTGAGTTTCTTTATGGCAACTGCTGTTCCATCACTTAAGACTCCCTTGAAGACGCGACCAAAGCCACCTTCTCCAAGTATGCTTGCTGGTTCAAAATTATTCGTTGCTTCTTTGAGCTCTTCATACGAGAGAAGCCTTGTACTAGTAGGATGAGGAAGAGAGCCTTCTACAGAAGCTGCATCTCCACTCCTTGGTTTTGCTGAAAATACATTTAGCTGGAGATTAAATATTTTTATCGCACACATAGATAGTACTATATAAAAAGACCTAATCTACAACAAGTGGCTCTCCACTACAAATGGAATGCATATATTATGAGAAGCAATCTTTAAAAATGTACGAAATTAAAGTTACGATCCATATCAAACTTATTTTCCCCATTCCTCCAGTCTACTGCAACCGGAATCTCATGTGTGCAAAATAAGTTTTGTGCTGGGACAAAAACTCTATTTCATAGATAACTCTTCTAAGCCTACTCCTTGCAACTTTGCAGGCACTTTGGCATAGTTTGTGCAATTTATTTTATTGGGTGAAGTGTTTCAATGGACAACTGTAAGTGTTTTTCAAGAACGAAGCCATTATTTTCATTAAGGAAAGACGTGTGGAGGTGATTAGGCAACTAAAGTGTTGTGTAGCTTTTTTTAAAAAAATTCTCATGAAGTGTTTGTTCAATTTAAAACTGAGTTTTGAAGTATTCATTCAGTGGTTCCTTCATCATCCACCAGAAGCATCGGCATTAACAGATATGTTTAACTTAAAATTATTAGAGAAATTCAAGAATCTGAATATCTTCTTGGTTCTTAGATATTCTCTTTCTATTTTATGCCACCAATGCTTGTATCTTCAATATGCTTTTTCTTTCTTTCATATTGTAGCAAATGATATGAATATATTTTTTTTCTTAAAAGGTAGGATAAAACACCGCATGGTAAATGAAATCACTGGGATACATTGTTCCAGGTAACAACCAAATGTAGCATATACACGCAAACCCTCAATGACATTGCTTTAGATACCTAGAGTAAGCATCCTGGTCACCTACTGACTAGGGGTGAGCAAAGTTCGGTCCAAACCGACCGAACCGACCGAACCGACCGATTTCCTACAGTTCGGTGCGGTTTTGATCAAAGTTCGGTTCGGTTCGGGTTCAGAAACATTCAACCCGATTAAACCGACCCGACCGAATTTTCCCCCACCCGTCCTAACCCATACCCGATACCCATATCCGACTGATATAAATTCCCTTGTTCTCAATTTCATCCATTCCCCTTGCCCTAAATCTCCCGATGCTCCCTCTCTCGATCTGGTCCCCGCCTCTTTTCCTTCTCTCAGAAAAGATGGCATTTTTACCTTCTACCTCTCTCTTGCTTCTCCTCCTCTCGTCGGCGATCCTCGCCGCCGCAGCCATCGGTGGCGACTCGGACATGTCGATCATTGCCTACAACGAACAACACGGATTCAGGGGTAGAGCGGAGCGACGCCGAGATCAGACTCATCTACGACCATATGAGAGTAAGGAGAGGGTTAGGGTTGGGAGCAAGAGGTACAAGGTCAACGCTGGAGAGAGCTTGCCGGATTTAGGGATTGTAGCTTCGGTCAAAGATCAGGGGAGTTGTGGTAAGTTTCGATTGTTGAACTTTTTTTTGGGGGTCCTTGTTCTGATTGGTTTTGTTATTACTTAGTTCCTAAGTTTTTGGATTTTTGGATGAGGTAAAGTTTATTTTGACCGTGGATTAGATTAGGTTAAAAGCTGTCGTTTTTTCTTAGGATTTTTCCGCCTATTTTGTGAATGCAACTGGGGATGATTTGATTTAGAAGTAACATACCCAGTTATAGAACGCGACGGTGAACTCGTGGGTGTAAACCGACCGTACCGAACCGAACCGTATCACTTCGGTTCGGGGCGGTTTTAGCTTGAGGGTCGGTGCTGTACGGTTGTAATTTTTTTTGTCGAAACCGACCGAACCGACCGAATGCTCAGCCCTACTACTGACTACCGTCCTTTTCTGGTGGTCAGACAAAATCCAACTCTGGTTCGGTGCACAGCTCAGATCCAAACAATTTCAAATCTTCAACTAGAAACTAAGGCATAATAAATGGAAGGCTAACATTCACTTGTGCAGAACATGTGAAATAATAACTGGTTCCACTGTTAGTGCATGTTGTTTGGATGTGATCATATCTTATATGTCATAACGACAAGGTACCACCCCCAAGCGTCTCCATTCAAGGTGTAGTACAGCTCTGAATCGTGAAAACTAGTTGACTGAAATAAATTAAAGAAGCAAAAATAGTGACTAATTGACTTAATGAGCCCTCATATATATTTAGAATTCTGCACTAGTATAGCTTTTTTCTAATAGACTTAACTTTCAATTTTGTTGACTTATACTATGCAACAAATAGGTTTCAGAACTTCAAGTACTTATGATGTGCTCACATTATATTAATTAAAATGTTTGCTCCCTAGTTTCTGAAAGATGAAGTTTTTAATATCATACTTTAACTTTACATATCCTCAAACGTGTATGAACCTCTCTTCTTGATCTACATGCACATAATAGCACAAATGTTTATGCATATAACCCGAGAAATAATCCCAAGTTGTACTGTGACAAGATATACCAATCCACAAATGCTGACCCTTTATACAACACATCTTTTCTCATTCTCTGTGTTCACGTATTGCTGTGCCAACATGAAAACAGGTCTAAAAGTCTATAGGAAACAGACTTAAACTGCCAGCTCCAAAGAAAATAACAGTTAACTAACTCCTATAAGCTGTTTACATGTTTTCTCAGTTTTTAACTTGAGACTGTACGGTGCCAATATAGCATAATGGTAAATCCTCTTAGCAGCGAGCAAGAGGTCTAGGGTTCAAATCCCATTTGTATCATTCTACGGCTTATTTCTCAAAAATAAAAATACAGAAGAAAACCAACATGAACGGATCAACCATATCTCAGTTAGCCTTAAAATAAGTTTGACAGCTCACCTGGTTCTTTGGCGGCAGTCTGCTTCTCTTTTCTAGATATGCAGGAGAAGATGATTATCACGGATATTATAATAATGATCAGGACACCAGTACCTATGCCCACAGCTATAATCAGAGTTGAACGTTTATCTTCATTAGTACTTGGAGGTGTATGCACATTGGACTTTGAAGGCGGTGAAACCCTGGGTGCAAAAGCCTGTGTTGGAGCTGGAAAATGGTAAAGTGTCACAGAATCCATCACACTAGTAGAAACACAAAAGATTTACCCTTCAAAATTAAATAAAAATTAAACATCTATTAGAAATCTGATTGCCATAGTTCCATACAAAATAAGGGTGATAGATTGTATCCTTCTATGTCATAAGCAGTATCCTGTGAGCTGTTACAGTTAGCAGATAATATTATGAAAATATTTTGGCAATGACCTAAAGGATACAGGGTTTCAGAAATCAATGAGTAAGTGTCAGATTTTTTAAACAAATGTACCAGAGCATCATAATAGCCAAATTCCCAAAACCAGGAAATTTTATTGAAAACCCATCAACGAAGTCAGTAGCACAAGATTGCCAGCAGGAAAAGGCATGTACTATAAATGAGGTAATTATTTATAAGCCGAAGTAATGTCAAACAGTAACATGGATAGTACACAAGTAGATTGCAGATACAGTTACTGACATGACATGTTTGAAGCTGAATGTGGGTGCCATGTGGTAGGCTCGCTGCTACAAAATTGCATCATGCAAAAGTTAAGGCATTTAATTACATTAAAGTTTCCATTACCCATAAATGTTTCATAATGGAAAAAATAGGGATTATGATTATATTTTGCAACAAAATAAAAATTCCTTGCAAAAAAAATGCCAACACCACCAAGAACATTGAAACAAAGATCAATTTGATAACAACATGACTAATAAATAAGTGGACTAATCCATTTGTCAAGTATCGAATCATACAAAAAGTATTTGAGAGAATAAACCGCTTGATAGCTTGTCCAAATTTCAAAATATAATCTGCAGCATCAGAGAGGAAGTAGATTTAAACTTACATTCAGCTTCGGAATTTCTGATGTAAATGGGTGTATATGTAATTTACAAAGAGTTTCGTATAGGCTAAATTACCAAATTGGTATTTTTATTCGACCATGTTTGCCAGTTTGGTATATTTAAAAAATCCGACAACAACAATGTATTTTATTAAGGCCATGCTTACCAATAAGACTCTTTTCCTTGAAATTTCGGCAGGAAGATTTATTCTACCCCCTAACCTCTCAAAATTATTAAATCTATGCCCAAAAATTATCAAAAAAAATGCATCCCCTCCCTCTCCCTCCCCTCCTCCTCCTCGTCATCGTCCTCCTACTCCTCCTCTCCCATACCCCTCTCCTCCGCCTCCCCTTCCCCCTCCAAGTTATACATAAGCATTGCCAAAATATCCAATGGTTCTCGTTCATTTGAGAACTATCATTAAGATACTCCTACAAAAGCCATTGAGCTTTTTCAGTGATTTCTTCATAAAGCATGTCAGTCATGGTTCATAATGAACACTAATGCTAGTCATTGCTTGATCCATACCTCCTATAGCTGAGCCACAAAAGCTGATTTTCTCATTATAGACTCGTAATTATTTCATAAAATATGAAGATTTTGAACTCATAATTTACACTAATAGATATGATCTACTAAACATAGATTAGGAAACAAAAAAATTGGTTTCCATGTGATTTACCCATACATCAAACGTCCTGAAAATTGATCGCCTCAGAATTTGAAATCAATTTAACTTTTCATAACTTGATGCATGGTGAATCATTTCGAAACCATTTGATTCTTTGTATTTCTATATTATTTTGTTCAGCAAATCATATTTATCAATTTGGATTTTTAACACGCAAGTTGAATCCTTATATTTGGGTTTATAGTAGCGTTAACTCATCCATCTATTGATTCTGCTCTTAATACATTGCTATAACTTTAGATTGTACACCCAAATAACAAGAACATTAGAGATATACCCGGGTTGGCACCCCTAGCCCCAACATCAAGAAGGTTGTTGTTTGCAGACGTACCGAGAGGTTTCCAGTAGCATGTTCTCATCTGCGAAGATGTTGTATGTATCATCAAGAAGGCCACTTAGATTTGATCACTGCTTTTGGATCGTTCGGGTATACAATGTCCCCTTGTGAGTCCATGTTGGATAGGAACCATACATTGCCTGCAGCCTTCAGAGTCTACTCGAGCATGATATCATGTTGGAGGGGGAAGGGGAGGCGGAGGAGGGAATGAGAGGGGAATGTGAGAGGAGGACAACGACGATGAGGACGAGGAGGAGAGGGAGAGGGAGGGGATGCATTTTTTTGATAATTTTGGGCATAGATTTAATAATTTTGAGAGGTTAGGGAGGTAGAATAAATTTTCCTGTCGGAATTTCAAGAAAAATGGTCTTATTGGTAAGCAGGGCCTTAATAAAATACCTTGTTGTCGCCGGATTTTTTAAATATACCAAACTAGCAAACAGGGCGGATAAAAATACCAATTTGGTAATTTAGCCGTTTCGTATATGTAATGTACAAAGAGTTTCTTTTTGGTTGCTTCCTGGTTCCAAAATATGTAATTCATATGGTGACCGTCCTAATTAAAACGATAGTTTAGTTACTCGGTCACTGATTTCGGCCGACCTTGCATCATGAATATTGGAAATAGGGTCTTCCATCTCTTATTCCTTTTTTATTTGCAACATTTTCTCTGTTTCTTTCTCATACCCATTAGCAATATAATCTGTACATTTTTATTATTCCAAGCTATTGTTACAATCATCATCAGATTCCTCTAGAATTCTGGCTGTGACATCACAAATTAATTTGTCTGATCAAAAGGACAGGATCCTTCACCTTAGCATCATCATATCTTTTGCCAACAGGAATCAACACCATCCAAGTTTCCCAGTCAAATTGTGTTCAGCAAGGAAGCATATACTTATCTAAACTAAAAGGTACTTTTCCTGTGTTCACGTGATAAAGTAGGTAATACAGTGAATGAGGTTGATCTGAAGAATACATCATAAAGTTGATACGGAGGTGCAACTATATTTCTCCAGTGGCAGAATCTCTCCAACCCAAACACTCCCTTGACACCCATGGTCATATAAGAAATGAAAGAGACCCTCCAAATGATTTTAAAATAAATAATAAAGAAGTGGCATTTTCTTTGGAACTAAAAAAAATTGTATAGCACGAATAGTACACAATATAAGACTTGAGATTTCAGATTTGGATAACATCACCGTTAAGTGCATGTAAACAGCATTAAAACATAGTCCAATTCCCACAGTGTTGCATTGATCTTGTAGCAATATATGTCATTAAAACTTGTCGTATGGACCACAGAACGGTTCCAAAATGAAAGTATAGCAAGAAAGCTTACCAGGAGCAGGAGCCAATGGCTTGAACCAAGTTAAGTTCAAAAGTCTGTAATCACCAACTAGCGTAGGGTTCACATGAACTTTATGAAAAGTAAGTGAATAGTTCATTGCGTTGACTTGATCTGCAGAGAAACTAATCCCAGTGTGCGGAGCAATGGCCATAGAGATATTTAGGCCTGAGACACCGACAACATAAAAGTTATCAATCTCGAACTGACTGACACGAAGGTTTAGCTGGGAGGCAAGTTCTTGAAGAAATTCATTGCTCCAATTTGAACTCAAAGAAACATTCTGAAGAAACAGCTCAACTTTTACTGGGTACACACAATGACAACCTTGAGTACCTCGCTTTTGCACCATATTCTGCTCACAGCATCCTGTGCAGTGGGGGAAAAGCAATTACTACAACAACAATCAAAATTAGAAGGGAAAAGACATTATTACCCAATATAAAGCCTTAGAATTACACAACAGAGTAAAGCAGCCTTATAGTTGACATTATCCAGCCTACAGAAAATGCAAGTACTGGAGAGGCAAGCAGAAAGATCAGTGTAACTGATGGTCCTCTCCATTTTGGTAGGATGATGTCAAAACACTCTTAGGATTATTCAAGCTCCATGATTGAGATCTACAATAATTGCTAAACAAAAACCTTAGATGACAACATGAAGGTCCATAGTCAGAAACAATAAGGTATGTACGACTGCACAAACCTACAGACGTACTACATTTATCATTGAGCAAAAGAAGAAAATAAGTTACCAATTGATATTTCATCTAAGTGCCAAAATGCAAAGCAGATTTTAATCAATAAAAATTAATATATAAACAAACTAATTTCAACTTACCAGACCTGTGAGGAGGGATTAAAGGTGCATCTGGAGAAGGAACAGAGCTGGCATTGGAATCTGATGGAGCAGTACCCCCAGTGATAGGAGGTATAAGGGATGATTCAGGGGCACGACTTTGGTTCCGCTGCATCGATGGATATGATTGCTTTGATAATCTTGAAGAGGGTGGACCAGCAGTTGTCAAAGAACTATATTCTGGAGGAGGTGAACTTGCAGCTTGCGGAGAAAATTGTTCCCTAAGTTCTCTCCGAACCAGAGGAAGAGTCGCAGGCAAGAAGAATTCAGAAATGGCTGGTGCAGGTGCAGAATCCAGTAGATCCCATCCACCTGGTGGAGAAACGGCCGACACTGAGGTAGGTATTTGAATGCCAGACAAAGCCTTGCTTATGAGTTCAAGACATGATAAGATCATCAAATAATTCAGTAGCAACAATTTCAAGGATTTCAAAAGTCCTGCAATTTCAAATTAAGCGAAGTAATCAGTAAAGCTGAACCTATCGCATAGTAATCTGTAGTCCTCAAGAGCAAATGATGATTCTCTAAACTGTAGGTAGATTACTGATACCACTTATGTTCTCTGAAAAGAAGACATTCAGCAAATAATATTTATTTTCTTTTCTCATTTCATCATCTTAGCATGAAAGCCCCATGAATAAAAGCAGTTGAGATTTCCTTTTGGGCCTTGTTCCCTTTCTTTCTTTTTCTTTTTATCTGCTTGGACCAAGGGGTTACCGAATTTAACAAAAAGAGAAACGACTCGTCAACGGTCAACCTTCACAGGTGCCATTTGTCAACGGGTTAAGTGAGGGGTTAAGGAGAGTTAAATCCCCATTAACCTACCAAGCACAAAAAAATCTACTCATGAAATAAAGTGAGGTAACCAGCGTAAGGTTTCCAAACACAAAAAATATAAAAGGGTTAAGATGTGAGGGGTTAAAATGGGTTCACCCTTCAAATCTGAGGGGTTTACTAATCCACCTCCTATTTAGATGGGTCAAGAGACAATCCTATAACTTATTAAAAAATAATATCAAATTCTCATTATTCCCAAACGCTAAAAAAGATCGCAAAGACCAAAAACAATATTAATTCTTAGTTAACTGTTCAGGTTAACAAATGAGTTGACTAGGTAAATCCTTCTCCTTAATCTCTCTTCCAAACATTTGCCAAATGGGGCCTTAAAGTATTTTCGTGAGGGAGGGAGGGAGGGAGAGCAACGAGCTAAAAAATGAAGAACCCCCATTCGGAACTAAAGCTATAGCAGAATTGCTAGATTTATATTAGACCAAGAAGAGAAACAAAAACAACAAACCAATATAGATAGAAAAATACAGAGAGGCGCAAAAGTAAAACCTAAGCTGCAATCAACAGGTGCTACCACAGTAATTTAAAAATATGCAAATCTGTTAGACCTCCTCAGACATCAAAAGACCCTTAAAAAAACTAAAATGCATTGCACAAATATCTAAATCAAACAACGAAAAAGGAACCAAATACATTGAACCAGATCTGTCAAGACCTAAGATTCTGAATATACCCAGGTCAGTGCTATAAACATCATATCTGCTTCTACAAACAATGAGCAGAGCCTAAAAAGTGCAACACAAATGTGTTTCCAAATGAAGATGCCTGAACTGTGGTGATACTGTGTAGAACACCACAGCAATTTGAAATTTCCCCATATACCCCCAGAATCCAAAACCTTAAGTTTTTATAGCAGGATGGCATTTAAGAAATATATTTTAGCACATATTTTGAAATTTTGCCAGATCCAGAAGCCTTAGCATAACGATATACAATAATCGTCAAGATGGAGCAACAGCGACATCTACTCAAATTTAAGAGAAAGATAATCTTTAAGCCAAAATTAACCAAAGTTCGACACTGCAGATGAGGATCATTATCCAGAACCACCTATAGTTCGCATTAACAGTACCTCAACGATCACATTCTTAAATTCCGTAAAATTCCTTCACAAGCCACAAAATTTCAAGAAATTGACAGCATCAGGTTTCACTCAGGCTATTAAAGAGAGCAAAGTACTACTCCAAGTCCAAATTCACTCCAAAGAACGAGATTTAAGCCAAAAGAAGGCAAGAATACGAACCTCGTAGCTCAGAAACTTGAAACGAGCTCCGAGAACCTCTCATGGCCGACGAAGCGATTAAGATCTGAGGAGCTCGCCGCGATCGATCGCATGGACGCGACTAATAGCAGGATCTCTCGGTGTCGGCAAGCGCAAGCAGGTGGAGAAACGGCGAGATCAAGCGATACAGAGCTGCTGCGATCGGGGATAGGAGAGGCCGCTATCTGATCGAAATTGGGGATCTCAAGTCCATAGATGGGGGATTTGTTAGGGTTTATGAAATTGAGTTCGTTGCTTTTTTTAAGCTTTCCTCCCTTTTTTTTCCCCCTTTTTTATTTTGCCTTTCTCTCGGAATTTGGTCGGAACAAATGACGATTATGGACGAGGGTATGAAATAAACGGTTAATAAAGTAATAGAACTTATACTTTAAAATTCGGTATTTTTGTAGATAGATGCTCACAAACTAGAATTTTACTTTTATCTATGGCATTGAGCAAGCAAATTACCCTCCTTCCCAGTTTATTGATAAGCTACTGTAACTCCTCATCACTGGATTAATGTCTCATTAATCTAGGAATCATCCCCTAAGATGTCCTCTAGGGACTCATTAAAAAGGGATCAATTGCGAATAGACCTCATGCAGTATAATTGGTTGCAAAGAGACTATATGTAATTCTATTTATTATGAATAGATCTCATACAGTTTTAACTATGACAAATAGACCCTTTATAGTATTTGCTTAGTGTAAATACACCCCTTTAGTGAACTTTTCTTTATTCTTTTAGAAGTAAAAAAAATTTAGCAATTTGGCTTCTATCCTCACCAATAGAACTATAAAAGCTCCATTCACCTCCTCAAACATTTTAAACAATTTCAAGAGTCCAAAAAGGACATCTATTCATAACAAGTAGAACTACAATGGTCTATTCACAACCAATAGTACTACATATAGCCTCTTTGTAATTGGGTGGTACTACAAATATCTTTACTCAATTAACCCAGAAAAATGTCAGGTTTTGTCTATTTACCCCTCAAATCTTTAATATTTGCAAAGTTACATCTCAAATATTGATATTTGTAAAATTGTCGTCGAACCCTCAACATTTAAAACTTCTCTACACTACTTATTTTGTTAGGGAATATTCCCTTTGTATCTGTTAACCATTTTAAAAGAGGTGTTTACATGAAAATCAATTAACTTTTTGACCAAATTGTAATTTTCCATCTCTTTTTAATAGAATTTACTTACATTTATTTACATGTTTGCAATATCACTGTTTGTATGAAATTTGTAAGAAGAAAATTAAGAACAAAAATGTGTTATTCTCTCTAACTGACTTAGACAAAGAATGATTACAAAGCTCTCAATACAATTTCTCTCTAACAGACTTAGAAAAAGAAATTATAATCTTCTTGTATCAGAATCCTGATTTACAAAAGAGAAGAAGATCGACAGAGATCCTCCCTTTTGTTTAAAATTGGGTTCTTCACAGCAACGATGAGATGCCTCCTTCGACGTTCGTATCGAGTTTGTTTCTCGTTGACGATCCGATGTCTCACTTCACTGGAACGGTTAATGTAAACTTGTTTGAACAAGTTTGAAAATAACTCTTCAGAGTTTATGAACTCAGAACGAGTTTAAACTCTGTAAAAAGAGTTATTGTTAAACCGAAAATTCGGTTAATGAATTAAGCTATTTGTTGCTAAAAAAGATGCATTAAACCTCTTTCTGAATCAGAACAAAATCAGATTTCTTTTGACAAAATCTGATCTGTTAAAATCTGATCTGATCCCCCAAAAAATCTAATCCTTTTACTCGGTTGAGTTGATTGGATATTTATAGGAGGATAAGGGAGTGTAACTGACCCCTTAATCCGCTCCTAAGTGGGCGACAATCCCTCAATACGTGGGGAAAACAGTTTTGAAGCCGTTCAGCCCGTGTTTGAACGAGTCAAACGCCTCAAGCTGGCATTCTGGAACCGAACTCTGCGTCTCAAGCTTGGGACGCAGAGTTAGGCATCCGCCTAATGCTGAAACGCAATGGCCGCATTACGTTTTGAAGCTGAAACACAGAGGTCGCTTATGTGTTTTTCAAAGAGATTGTAAGTTTGTAACCTCCCCTGTTAAAGCGTTGCAAAGACTATATGTTATGTAATTTTCGCTTTAGCTATTTTTGAGATGAGAGTCGTCAGATTATAACTCTCGTTATTGATTGTGAAGCATGTTGAATCAGAGCTTTTCATTTATTGTCGTGCAGGTCGTTGAATTGTAACATTTCTCGATCTACGTAAAAATTCTCTAATTGTAGCTTTCGTTTATTGACGTGAAAGTCGTCTAATTGTAACTTTCATTATCGAGATGCTGATGTAGAAGTCGTCAAATTGTAACTTCCATCATTAAAGTTTGGTAGGGATCAACTATCTGTTGTGATTTTTATACAGCCTACAGAACCCCCTCCAAAGTTTTAAAAAGTTTGCGGTTGACTGGGATAAATTTTCAGAATACTTTGGATCCTAAATTTTATTAAATGATTGTTCACTCCATCTGTTTTGAGGACATTGTGAATTTGGTTGTCGAAATTTGTTGTACATCGTAATTCTGCTTCCTGTATTAGTGATTCCTTACAATCTCTTTTGGTAACGGTTGACCTCATACTCCCGATGAACGTGTAGAAGTAGTTAAGGTAATTCTAATCACCTTAAACCAAACAAGATAACTTTTGTGTCTTGATGACAATGAACTTAGTCGAACAAGCTAAAGTCCAAGTCATCATCGTTAGATCCATTAGTAGGATTAACTTTTTCCTCTTCTTTGACAG